GTGAAAAAAGTAAATTTTGTAAATCAAAAAAAATACAATGTCAATTAGTTATCTTAAAAGAGACTGTTTATTTAAGATGCCTTCCAACAGGATATAGTGCTAATATAATTTCATTACCAGATTCTTGCGATCATTATCATAAAAAACTTGATAATGGTGAAGTATTAATCTGTGAGTAGTATTCTGCAAAAAATCTGATACAATCTGAATCTGATTCAGATCTGACAGATCAGATTAAATTGGATTTATAAGATTTGAATCAGATTCAGATTTGGATTTTGATTTGATTCAATCTGTCAGATCTTGATCAGATTTGAATTTGATTTTGATTTAATCTGACAGATTCGGATTTGGATTCAGATTCAATCTGTCAGATTCAGATTTAGATTCAGATCTGATTTATTGGATTTGAAATAAAAAATGCTATCCTAAAGTCGGATGCGGTATTTATTATTAAAAAAATTTAATGTTTAATAATAAAATTCTGCCCCAAAAGTCAGATGCAGCATTTATTAATTTTTAATAATAAAATGCCGTCCCAAAAGTCAGAGGCAGCATTTATTATTAAAAAAATTAATGTTTAATAATAAAATTCTGCTCTGAAAGTCGGATGTGGCATTTGTTAATAAAAAAATTAATTTTTAATAATTTTTTATATTAAAATGCCGTCCTGAAAGTTAGATGTGACATTTATTAATAAAAAAATTAATTTTTATTAATTTTTTATATTAAATGCCATCCCAAAAGTCGAACGCAGCATTTATTATTAAAAAATTTCATTTTTAATAATTTTTAATATTTAAATGCTGTTCTAAAAGTCAGACATAGCATTTATTATTAAAAAAATTAACTTTTTATTAATTTTTAATAACAAAATACCATCCTGAAAGTCAGACACAATATTTATTATTAAAAAAATTAATTTTTAATAATAAAATTCCGCATTTATTAATAAAAAATTAATAAATATTAATTTTTTATATTAAAATGCTAACCCAAAAGTCAGACGCAGCATTTACTATTAAAAAATTTAAATTTTAATAATAAAATACCACCCTGAAAGTAAGATGCAGCATTTATTATTAAAAAATTAATAAAAATTAATTTTCAATAACAAAATGCTGTTCCAAAAGTCAGAGGCGACATTTATAATTAAAAAAAATTAATGTTTAATAATAAAATGCTACTCTTAAAGTCAGATGCAGCATTTATTAATAAAAATATTGATTTTTATTAATTTTTTATATTAAAATATCACCCTGAAAGTCAGACGTGGCATTTATTATTAAAAAATTAATTTTTAATAATTTTTTATTAGTTTTTAATAAAAAAATGCCATTCCGAAAGTCAAAGGCAGCATTATTATTAAAAAAATTAATGTTTAATAATAAAATTCCGCCCTAAAAGTCAGATGTGACATTTATTAATAAAAAATTGATTTTTATTAATTTTTATAATAAAATGCCACCCCGAAAGTTGGATGCAGCATTTATTAATAAAAGAATTGATTTTTATTAATTTTTTATATAAAAATGCCATCCCAAAAGTCAGACATAGCATTTATTATTAAAAATTTCATTTTTAATAATTTTTAATATTTAAATGCTACCCTGAAAGTCAGACAGAATTAAAGATGAGAGACGAAACTCAAAAAAAGGCAATTAATAAACAGCTGAAATTATATTAAAACATAGTGAGGGGTACAACGAAACCTAAAACCCGAAATTAGCTGAAACTATATTAAAAACATAGTAAGGGATATGATGAAATTATTTTGAGGGAGTTTCAGCTGGCATCTTTAGATAGGACATTTATTAATAAAAAAAATTAATATTTATTAATTTTTTATATAAAAATGCTGCCCCGAAAATTAGATGCGACATTTATTAATAATAAAATTAATTTTATTAATTTTTTATATTTAAATGTCGCCCTAAAAGATAGACACAAAATTTATTAATAAAAAATTAATTTTTTATTAATTTTTAATAACAAAATGCCATCTCAAAAGTCAGACGTGGCATTTATTATTATAAAAATTAATTTTTAATAATAAAATGCTGATCTGAACGTTAAAGGCAGATTTTTGTTAAAAAATAACAAAATTGTTATTTTTTTAACATTAAAACGCCATTCCAAATGTCAGAGGCAGATTTTTGTTAAAAAACAACAAAATTGTTGTTTTTTAACATTAAAATGTCGTTCCAAATGTCGGAAGCAGATTTTTGTTTAAAAAACAACAAAATTGTTGTTTTTTTAACATTAAAATGCCGTTCCAAATGTCAGAGGCGGATTTTTGTTTAAAAAATAACAAAATTGTTGTTTTTTTAACATTAAAATACCGTTCCAAATATCGGAGGTGGATTTTTATTAAAAAATAACAATTTTGTTATTTTTTAACATTAAAATGCTGTTCCGAACAGTGGAGGCAGATTATTGATAAAAAATTTTTCAATCTGTCAGATACAGATACAGATTCAGATACAAATTTAAATTTGTCGAATTCAGATACAAATTCAGATTCAGATTTGTCAAAATTGATCGAATTGGATTCAGATTTGTCAAATTCGAATTGAATCAGATTCGGATTTTTCAGATTCAGATCGAATCAGATTTTGTTCAAATCTGATCTGATATGATCTGTACGGAATATTATCTGTAAGTATAGTTATTATTTTGAATTTTATCAAATAATGAAATATGGATGTCATCATTGTGAAGAATATTATAAATGTGAAATTTATAGCAATGTAAATTCTTTTTTAGATTGATTAGAAAAGGCTTCAAATATTCTTATCTCTGATAAATAAAATGAAACTCTAATAGAAGAAGAAATGAGATAGTAGAAGAAGTAGAAGCAAATAGGAATCAGGAAGTATATAAAGAATTTATAAATACACTTAATACTGTTAATTATTAGTGATATTACCTATAATTTAGTTTAATATAATAAATAAATACTATTAGATTAATAAAAAACTTTACTATCTTAAAGAATTCAATAATATTTTAAAATTAATTACTTGGTTTAGAATAACATTTGAAATTTCAGTCTAAGGTTAACTATAATTTCGGTTTATTGCTTTAATTAAAGAAAATGCATTATATAAAACTCTCTGGAACATTGAATGTCATTGGATATTATTGACTTTAGAGAAAAAAATAGCTTTAGAAAACATATTTGTGAAGTTTTATTACGTATTACTTAGTAACATTTGTAGCTTATTATATGGTTGATCATAATTTAATTAAAATACATATAAATAATCATGTAACTATAATCATTAAATTTAGACTTTCCTTATATTCACGTTAGGATATATAATATATATAATCAATCACGTGCATATTGATATAGTATAATAATAGATTTGTAATATGTAAGCATGATTTATTTTTTTTTGATACATTGCAAAACTTTTATTAATTTTTCAATAACAAGTGAAGGTAACGAAAAATGAATGATGCTATCAAAGAGGAAGGAAGTACACAGATCCTAAGCCATTTAATGCAAGTCCTAGCATCAAGTTATTTCTTTGCTCTTAGAATAATTTCTACAGATAATTTATTTCTACATCTATTACTAACTACCTCATAATCTTTCTCTACACTAGAATTCCAAAATAAATTACACTACTTATATCTACAGAATTTTTGTCTCTATATCACTCCTACTCACACAGATAATAAAAAATATTATTTCTCACAAGAAGACTTTTCTAAGATTAAGTAATTTTGAACCTACAGTATGTATATTTATAAGATTAGCAACTGAGATAAAAATATAATATTTTCAATTTACACTTACCGATATACTTCATTTTCACAATATTTCATTCTACCTTATATACAAGGAATTGATTACTTAATTTTTTCTGCATTATTGCCAGGATGATACCGCATGAAGATTTAAGAATTCAGCATGTTAAAGATGCTTAAATTATTTGATATATTGCGTCAAATTACTGTCTGGTCATATAATATAAGATTTGGCAGGAGATCTCAGCTGAAATTATAGTCATGCGATTTTTTGATTTTTTTCTGTAGTATTTTACTACACTGATTAGACACAAGCTAAATATCAAATATGTTAAAAAGATCAGAAATAGTAATATGTTCGCTTTGACTTTAAGCATCTATATAAAATTAGAAAAATTGATTAATATTATGATAAGTTCTTTTAGAAGCTAGCTGAGTAATAAAACTAACCTACTTTATTATAATTTTGCGAAAACTGGGAGTTTGTTTGATTGTTAATTTCAATGATGTTAATAATGATAAGTTTTAATTTTGTTTGATTTTTTGTTTGATTTTTGCTTTTACTTGCGTAAGGCAGATAAAGAGATTCACTAACTGAGACATAACCTTTTTATTTAATTCACAGGATCAATTTTGAAATACGCTTTTTGAAAAAATTATGTTAATATGATCGCATCACTAAAATCTGATCAACAGACTTTTCTTAATTTAACAATAAAAGATTTAATGCTATCCATATGTAAAGATCATCAAGAGATCCTTTTATAATAATATACGTAATAATTTTGAGAATATGCGAGAAAGTTTAATAATAAATTATTACTTATTCCTGTGATACATGTGATGTTTATACTAAAATATTTCTGAATGATACCATGCATTTATTAAATTCTATAGTACGTACAACTTAGTCCTGACAAATAACATTTTTAACGATCAAATTTAAGATATTGATCATATATCACGTGATACATTAAACTGGCGATTTCATTAGTCTATATATATCACATGATATTGTGATTAGATCAGAATACGAATAGTTTATTATATATTTATTATACTCAAAACAATGATAATAAATTATGTATTATACATTTATTTTGTAATACATTTCTTTTATAACAATTATAATCCTTTTCTTCCCATACGAAGTTTTGCTTTTTTATAAAAATTTTTTTTCCTATAAAAATTTTATATAAATTTGCATTAATATGCCACGTTTAATGAAACATAAAAAATGATCAAAGAAAGCTTCTCCACAAATAATATTGTTGTAATATTATATTATTATTGAATGAGTATGTGAAAATTTGTTTAAGAATTTCAGCATTATCCAAAGTGATATCAGGTATATTGGCTATTAATTCTACATCAGAGTCTTTAATATTTTCTTTAACTGCCTTAATAATATTAGAAACTATTTTCCTATTAGCTATGGTATCTTCTGCAGAAATAATCTTAAGTGAAGCTTCTGTACTAGAAACAAGACTGCAAAGAATTTTGGAAAAGTACTTAGCTGATAAATGTCTTTGATATTTAGCCTCAATATATGTTTCAACTGCTGAAGATGCATTAATAGCATAATAATCAGCAATTTTATCACATTTCTGATATCTTTTTACTGCTGTCGGTAAATAAATAGGCCTTAAAGCAGAAAGTTCAGCACGAATAAAATTACGATTTGGCTTTTAGAATATTTCGAAGGACTTTTTACTATTATATAAAGAAATATGCATTATAAACAATCCTGAATTTGATAAAGCATCTGTGTAAAAGCTTTAACATATACTTTTGTTTTAATATTACTAATTCTTATAATAACATCAAAATGATTAGGAATTTCAAAGGAGATACTAGCTTCTACAGTACTGGTGTAAATTATACAGTCGAGAGAATTTCAGATAGCATTAATATTAGTAAAATCCTCTTGTTGTTGTATTCTATCTATTTGGTTAAAATAAACACGAGTTAAAATAGGTAAATCATCTAGTTTTTGCAATGCAGAAGCTTGGTTTGCTAAAGCCCAGGTTTTTTACATAATATTATTGCAAAAGCAATACGTTTACCTTCTCAAAGCATTTTAAGACCTCTTCTCATAACCTCTGAATCTTTATCTGAATTATAAAGAATCTTAATAGTTTCACCTATACATAATTGATATTTATTATCGAAAATTCATATATCATTATCTTGATATTGTTTAAGAAAGCTATAGTAAAGTTATTTGCAAAAGCATCTATAGAAATAACATGGATAGCTGACTTTAACAAATCTCACAAAGCATTTTCAGATTTTTGTGCATGAATTCCACTTGATATTTAACACATAATCACATTGACTTCATCTAAAATAACTACATATGAACACCTTCTGGAAGCTTAATATGATATATACTTTCAACCTGAACAATAATAACATCCTAATTACTTATAACTAAACTACCTTTAACTTCTTGATATTGGTATACGTGAAAGTCCCAAATTTTGTAATATTTCAACTTTAGCTTTAGTCTCATTGCTAAGAGTTTTGCAATATAAAATCCAGTTAAAGCAAGGCAAATCTTCTCTATTTCTAGTTAAAGATTTGAGAATTTCTCTTAAGGTTTTTGTTTTACCAGTACTTACAGGTGAACGAATAAGAATTATTCTACATATAGAACTTAAAAAATCTGAATAAGTTTCTGGAGCCTCTTCCATCTCTTTCACATTGATATTTTTTCCAGACAATCAAGGAGTAAATGTGAATTTTTTACAACATTAATTAATCTGTTATTCAATCCCATTTAGATCTTTCTTTTGGCTTGATTATACCTGATGCTTCCTTAAATGCTAATCCCTTATGATCTGGTTTATATTATTTTTATCGGTAACATTTAAGTATGAAGTATACATTACTTCGAAAAAATCCATACAACTGATCTTTTTTATGACTAATATTGCAAATGGGACATGCTTTTAATGATCAGACTTGAAAGTTGATAAAATCCTTTTTAATGTTATCAATCTCAAACCATTCATATTTTGCAATAACTAAGTTAACTTATTTACTTAAGGCAGTTTCATTTTCGATATGCTGGAATATCTCCTCCTTTTCTAGCTTCTCAAAAGAAAAGGTCTGTGGCCAGATTTCAGAACAATAAAATTTGGATTGAACCAAATAATCCTCTAGCTTGCAATATCCTTTCTTAACTGAAGAAATTGCAGGTCTTTTAACTCTATCTTCTTTTGCTGATCCAAGAAGACAAAGGTTAAAGTGAGATTTATAGAGTTCTATGACAATGAATTCAGAGTATAATTTTCCAACCCTATCAGTGACAATAAAGCAGGCATCAGAACATACAATATGCCAACTGCATTTATCACTATTAGACGAACTAGCTAAAGCAAAATCATTTAAAGTATGAGATATTTTAAATCAGAGTACAAGATATCAGCATAAGCAATTAAGATTCTGGATAATAAATCATTACGAGAAATTTTATATCCATCTAAGGAAGGAAGTTCAGGATTCATAAGATCGAGCTTCTGCCTTGCATCAATATCTAGAACAAAACGAAGTACTTTACAATTGTTGATAGATTAACACATGAAAAATTCAAGAAATTTAATGAAATAAATGTCTAGAAAATTTAAGAATAAGGATGATTTTGTTAAATAATGTCGCGAAAAATGAACTTATTGATTTATTCACATTATTTTTGAATTTTTTTTTTTGCCACTATTACGAATAGATGAAAGATTTTGTGTAACCACTAAAATTTTGGTAATAAATTGCGTTTCAAGTAATTAAAAAATAGAAAGATCCAAGAATGTAAATCCGTTATAAACTAAATTTGTTTAGTCAGAGTTAAACTACATCAAAAATATGATTTATTTCACGTGAAGTATTAGATTTTTTTGCCCAAAGATTTGGATTTATTCCCATAAGATGGCTCCAACTATAAAAAAAAGGACATACCGATCAATGTTATATAACGAGCACAATTGTAACGAAAGGGACCAATCTCGTATCGTCTCAATTTTGAGCGGACGTCTCGCGTAACAAAGCGCAAAAGTATATTGTCCTTCGCTATGCTCAGGCACCCTGTATGTTTTCAATCACTTGAACTTTGTTTACTATGCGCAAAAGGTCTATTCTAGCGTATGAACATAGTAAATGCATTGAATACTATGCTAACCTACGTTTAGTGTTCAGGAAACGTTACATTGCTTATGGTCGACGCGAGCATATTACAGTATATATGTTCAGAACTGATAAGGCTTTTTGAATTCTTTTGATACTCGATATATGATCGGTCAAAAATCATTTAACAAAGTATAATGAAATAATCACGAGAATATAATGATCCACTTTTCAATGAACCGGAACGTCTAGATTATATACAGTAATTAAAAGAGATTGGGGGATTATAATAGGATATTTTTGTAAATTGTTATTTATCATTTACTTTCCCAACTTTTCTAATGATTCAAAATTATCAGAGCATGAATATCGTAAAGAATTAATACTCAAACAAATCAATTATTATTAATCTAAATATCATGAACGATAACGAATTACAAATAATGAGAGATACACTATATATATATATATATATATATATTTTTAAATATATACAACTCTAATTTTCAGAGTTAACTTTAGCACCTTCAATATCTGATACAACCATTTCTTTTACAAGAGAATCAAAATCAACTTTTCGTTTCCAACCAAGAAGTTTATGAGCTTTAGTAGGATTACCAAGTAATAAGTCAACTTCAGTTGGACGGAAATATTTTGGATCAACACGAATTCTAATTATTCCAGTTTCTTTTTCTTTACCAACAATTTCTTCACCTTCACCTTCCCATACAATTGCTCTACCTATTACAGCAAATGCCTTTTCACAATATTCTCTTACGGTATGAGTTTCTCCAGTTGCAAGGACAAAATCATCAGGTGAATCTTGTTGAAGCATTAACCACATTCCCTCTAAAAATATTATTTTAAAATGAAAGTAAAGATTTTTGTTATTATTATTATTATTATTATTTTGTAATTTATTTTACTACTTACCAATATAATCTTTGGCGTGACCCCAATCACGTTTAGCATCGACATTACCAAGCCACAAGCATTCTTGTTTGCCCAAGGAGATTTCGGCTACAGCACGTGAAATTTTTCGTGTTACAAATGTACGACCACGACGAGGAGATTCATGATTAAATAAAACACCATTACAAGCAAACATATTGTAAGCTTCACGATAATTAACTACAATCCAATAAGCGTACAATTTGGCAACTCCATAAGGTGAACGAGGATAGAAGGGAGTAGTCTCTGATTGAGGTGTTTCCAAAACTTTACCATAAAGTTCAGAAGTGGAAGCCTAAATTTTATTCAAAAAAATTTTAATTTAATTTATTAAATAAATATTTTATTATTTTTATTATAATTACCTGATAAAATCTAACGTGTTGAGTTAAACCGACAGTTCTAATGGCATCCATCAAACGTAAAGTACCCAATCCATCGACATCACCCTAAATAATAATAAGAAACAAAATTCAATATATTAAATGTTTTTTAAATAAAAATTATATATCGTATTATTATCTAATTACTTACAGTATATTCGGCCATATCGAATGAAACCTTAACATGAGATTGAGCACCCAAATTGTAAATTTCAGTTGGGAGCACCTGAGAAACGATATGGACAAGATTAGTTGAATCTGTCAAGTCACCATAATGAAGAACCATATTGGGATCTTTATCGAAGAAATTTAAAAAATATAATTAGAATATATATATACAATTAAATTAGCTCGTCAATAAATTATTTTAATAGGTCAAAAAAATTTAAATTCCGAAGCAAATTGAGAATCAATTAATTTATATTTATGACACAACTCACGTTCATGCTGGTCTTTATATAAATGCTCAATTCTTCCTGTATTGAAAGACGACGATCGACGAATGATACCATGAACTGAATATCCCTTTTCTAAGAGAAACTCGGTTAAATAGGAACCATCTTGACCAGTAATACCTTATTACATCAAGAAAAAAAATTTGTTTTCCAAAGAAAATTGAATTATTTACACATTAAATTTAACGATAAAGAGACATAAAATTAAAGATATATCATTTTTGAAAAGTGAAAAAATTGAAAATACCAGTTATCAAAGCAACTTTTCTCTTTCTATACTCTTCAGGGGAAAGAGTAAGGACCTCAAGAATGTTTTTTGATACAACGGTAGACATTTTATTGATTATTTTATTTTTTTAAAAAAAAACTAGCTATATGTATATAGTATTAATGGTTTAATGTTTTTTTTTAAATAAAATATAAATATAATTATCAATTACAGCTAAAGCACAAAAATATTTTTGAAATTAAATCAATGATGAAAAAAAAAAAATGGTGGTCAATTTTATATAAACAATCAATCCATAGTAGGAGATTGGTTTAACAAACAATATTTAAAATGTCAAACAGGATGATAATGAATTTACATAAATATTGGATAAAAACAATAAGCACGTGATATAATATTTACAGATCTTTGAATTTGATTGGCAAATACACGCGTGCGGACATACAGAAAATCCTAGTTTTTTTTGTCTTACCATAATGTCCTACGCTTACGCTTCGGATAATAATAACTTATTAATCTATCGTTATCTACATTTAGTGAAATTTATTCATATCAATAAACGATATATTTATTTAATTTAATAATTGGATTGGTTTATTTATTTAAATTATAATTAATAAATTTATTTTATATTATTGATTAGGTTTTATATCACAATATTCGATTCCATATATTTAAAATTGAACTGGTATTTACCCAAACAAAAATGCTGGGTGCTTAAATAATTATAATTTTAGCATTTCATGTATTATTTGGTTACGCCCCCTTTATTATTTGGCTGGTTCAGATTGCATCAAGTGTATCTACAAAAAAGTTACTAATATCAAAAAAAAAAACTCTTTCTAACAACCACCCACTTTTCTAAAAAAAATCAACAAAAAAAAATAAAATATGCCTATTACTAAAGCTACTATTGCTCAAAGCCAATACAAATGAACATAACAAACTAACAAACAAACTAACTGAACTAACTCTAACGAAGCATCTGATTCTAAAACTACTGAAACAAACAAAACTATTTCAAAAATACAAAGAACTGCTCCTATTCCTAATGAACTCACTAAAGAAACTTTAGAGCAAAATATTACTGATAACAACACACTTACGACTAGCATCCAATCTACTATGTTTTAACCAAAACCCATAGAAGTTACTAAAACAGAAAAACAAAGTGAAATGGAACTTGATACAACCTTTAACTTAGATACACAACAACTTATTACTCCTTTAAAATCTACTACAAACGACTCTATATATGCTTCAAAAAACAGTGAAAACATGTTTTTGAAAATACAGGTTTTGATTACATTCTTTCAGTAAATAATAAAGGAAAAAACAAACAGTCTTGATCAGATGAAGTAGAATAACAAAATAA